CTATTTAATTATTGTCCACATGTAGAAATTATTCCTGCTAACATTAGGGGCTAGAGAGGTGCAGGACTATAATAATATTAGATTTTTTATGTATAAGGCAACTACGACTATGAGGCATAATACAGTAATTGTTGGGTTCTTGTCCTCTTAAAGGACCCTAGTCAGCCCTTGCTATTTTTGAGGCCATCAATATTATTGATGTTACAGGTGAAGTCTTGTTGCTTTACTGTAAGTTGTGTCCCTGATAGTATGTCCCTTTATCTTTAGTAGTTTCACAGTGATTTTCTTTACTTTAACATGCTATGAATAAAACATAAAAGCCAACCTCTTGAGGCAAACCTATTGAAGTTACCTCTGGTGCACCCTGCACCCTGCCCCCCCTGTTCTGTAACCATCACGCATTTATACATCTGGGTGAGGAGAGACACTATAAGAGTGCAAACACAATGCCGTGATCTCCAATAGGGGTCCATTGCACCAGCCATTGGGTGATCATGCCTCCTCCTTCATAGGGTTAGAGTGTACTTTATCCAAACATGACAGTTACAAGTTTGATAACTTTCTAGACGGGCAATTTGAGTGTGTTGAAACCTTTTTGACATTGCATAACCACTAGCAACTTAAGGCGACTTAGGAAGACTCAAGGCGACTTAAGGCAAGTTAAGGTTACTTTAAGCGACTTAAGGTCCCAGAGTAGGCCTTTGTAAGCTCCTTTGTTTATGTTGATATAATCAGCTTTGTTACNTAATTATAGACAAAATTGTTTCTTGTTTTAATAACAGATTGCTTTGGTCTTTTTTTAGCTTGAAAGATCTTCTAGTCAAGATTAATTGCTGTCATGCAAGTCATATTAAATGATGCCAATTACACAAGAAAGCTGTACAGTCACAATTATAATACCGCAAAATTTTGCAGTTCTTGGAAAATTTGGCTTTTATTGTCAATGCTTGCAAGATTTTGGCGGGTTTGGTTGCTTGTACTTTGGAATATTGTCATAAGTGCTTAACAGCTTCATTTGGGAAAGTGCTTGTTGTTCAGAAAGCCAAGTTTCATCAGTGTTTGTGCTTTCTGAAAAAAGTTTTTGATACGCTTGGCCAGAACATTTGATTCCTTTACATACTCCTTTGTTGGTGGTTGAATCACAATTTAGAGAAACTGTTTCAATTTGGAATAGCATTACTGTTACAATATACGCCTCTTCCGGTTGATTGTTATTCGTAGTGATTGTGCAATGACGAT